CCTGGACCACTTTTGGAAGATTGTGAGCGACAGCCGACCATGCCAGCATATTATAAGTGCTTTTTATTTTTGAATGTTTTTATTAGATTGAGATGGAAGATATTAAGGAAGAAGTAGAAGGAGAAGGAGAGCCTGCTGATGGTAAACAGGTTCCGGATGGTGGTAAAGAGGTTGCGGATGAAGCCAAGAGCTCTAGACACGATCCTAATCTGAATGCTGATATTGAAAAAATATTTGAGCCATTGGAAAGGTTTGATTTGGAAATGTTCAGGTCGATGTCGAGTCCCGAGGTTTCAGCACAAGCATCCTTCCAGTTTGGTGATTCGTTGGAACCAGAGATGGCTCAACGAGGCCAGTTTGGTGAACAAGATTACACCTGTAAGTGACATATGGTAGATCCAGCGGTAACAGAAATAGGGTGTGACAACTAATACAAGCTTTGACCGTGTTAATTTTATGGTAAAACTTCTGTGTTGAACCATCAGGCCACCCTATGCGTTGCAGCTCTGATTGCCATCTCGGTCCAGAAATATGGGCTGTTTTTATGACATCCGGCTATATCTGTACATAACCAAGCATAATTACAGCGTCCTGGATTGACCTCAATGTGCTGTGCACATATTACCGAATAGAGTAGCAACCTGGGAACATTAGATAAATGGATAAGGATTCTTTGAATCATTGACCTAGACATGCACACTATACACTTATCTCAAGGACAGTTGTCTCCTAGAACAACTTACCTAAATAGAGCAGTGTCCTTTAGAACAAACCTTTAATGCACTGGGACATTACCCAAGGACCACCCCCCCCCCCCCCCCCTCCCCCCCCCCTCCTCCCATATAACTTCTTCCCTAGGAAGTTAAAAATATTCCTAGGATACCTGAATTATATGATAAATGGAAGGATAATTACCTTGAAAATAATTATATCTAGCAGCAGGTCAGTTGTTTACTGTGATAGTTTTCTTTTAGGACAACTATCTCTCCTCAAATTATTATTCAGGAGATTTCCAGAATGTTTGGCCTAAAGCTAATACTTCCATTAAATTGAGATTAATAGAATTTTAACAATAATGCAGAAAATAGAATCGGATCAAATAAGAATAAAAAATGTTGTTTTTACAGCACATCGAAGGATGTCGCAGCAGTACCATCACACTTTAAGTCCATTACTTAGGAAAGCTTCATCAAAGAGTCTGGGATCCCAGAGCTCCAAGTTGCTCCAACCTGGCACAGGTTTATCAAACAGCTCCTCAAAGAAGAGTATAGCTTCACAGAAGGAGGGCATGAAGGCAATTGCTGTTATTGAGGAAGTGCCTAGCGAAGAGACAGATGGGGAGACAGATAGACCTATACCTAAAGTAAGAATATTTCTTGTAAACAATAATACATAAGTAATAATAATAATAATAACAATAATAAGATAATCTGAGATTACATACCCTTGTCTTGTTGTGCCATATCTATGTATGTTGTCGAGTTGCTCCATCCGCCGAACAAGACCTAGCATTGTAGGCCTTGCATGGCAAGGCCAACAATCGGCCGAGTTTGCTCGCCGACTGGACCGCTTCCAGCCTGCAAGCCACAACTTGACACACGGTTGATCTGCTCGAGTCGGCCTGCAGTCGGTCCGCGTGGCCTGCTAAATGACTCAGTCTGACGATTCACTCGAGCCTAATTAACCAATGCACCCATTCCACTCTTATCAAAAACAACAATGATGATGATGATGAAATTCACCACTCACATTCTAGGCTGCTTTTAGTTTAAGATTGTATTTACCCTGTTCTCCATAACTGCTCTTCCCCAAACCCCCCTCTCCTCAGGGACTAGATCCCCTCGACATCTGGCACTCATAGGAGACAGCCTTAAGGAATCCTTGTAATGGGCCTGTTGCTGATCATTATTTATCACTGTATGCTTACATCTACAGTATTACCCATAATAATCTTTCAATAATACAAAAGCCATATTTTCTTTTTTTTTGTTTAATTAAAATAGTTTACAATTGGTGGCCCAGATGAAGATGATGATGTAAAGCCAGATACAGATGAGGAAAGGTCACAGCATCATAAAGTACACAGGTAATAAATATTAACGCAATTCGGTCTGCTGTAAGGTTATCCAGTGAACAAGTGGTCAGGTGGTCATTTTAAAGAACTATAATATGGTCAGTCAGGTGGCCATTGTCAGGTGCCATGGTCAGTCATGTCTGCTTCAAGATCAACTCTCATGGACAGGTGGTCTTTTTTAATGACCATTTCATGTTCTGTTCAACTGCTGTAAGATGACCCCATGCATGGTCAGTCAGTCATGTCTGCTTTAAGACCAACTCTCATAGACAGGTGGTTAAAGACCACTACTTGCTTTGTTGATCTGCTGTAAGGCCATTGTATAATCACTTTGTCATGTTTGCTGTAAGACTAACTCACATGAACAGATGGTCTGGTTAGAGACCACTACTCTTTGCTCTGTTGATCTGCAATAAGACCATTCCATAATTACTTAGTCATGTCTACTACATTGTCACATTTTCTGGTTGGCTCATATTTAAATAATGTAAAGTGTTTATGCTTTACTTTAAAATGAACCATCCTATCTGTCTCAATTTGAATTTAAATCATAAATATATATTTACTCTTTATTTTTGTTGTTACTTAATATCAATTTTAGCCATCACCACCATCACCACCATCATCGTCGTCAAGATGATAGTTTACGAGTATGCATTGGTAGTCAAGTGAATCTGAAGGGAATGGATACAACGGAAATGATACCGACAGAAATGGATGAGGCAATCATGCTCAACAAAGCTGACTTAGAAGACATGGCCAGTAAGTTAATTTCTTTGGGTTCAATAAAAAAGTTGATGAAAATTGTTGTAAGGGGAGATTAAACAGGGGAGAAGGAGAATAAGTATTTACATTGGCACAGAACCACCTGAAGACAACCAGTCTGGCATTTCAGACATTTTTATTGGTGATTACAATTAATTAATATTGTAAGTATTTATATTTCAGTAAACAAACTTAACCTTATTTTTTTTTGTATGACTGTTATAGACAGTTAAAAAATACCTTCGCTGCATTTATTTGCATATACCCTTTATATTGGTTTGTAATATGTTTAAGGATTTTTGTATTAAAATATCAGTGAAAACCTGTCTATCTGTTTGAAGTGAATAACTTGCTTGATTTCTTTAAAATGAGCTATTACCAGATTTTAATTTAATTTTTTTAAACTTTGGCAGTAAGTACATACTAGGAATGTTGTCAACAACATTGGTTAGCTCATGGTTATCAGTCATTAATCCAATAAAAAACTAATCCAATTTCAATGAAATTTTAACACTATATTATTATCACATACTATCCTTAGCCCACAGGTTTGAAGATATTTCAAGGAAGAGACGACACAAAGTGCAAAGAAGGAGGAGAAGCTCAATAATCCACGGAAGCTCTTATAGTAAATCATCCATCAAAAGTATGAAAGACAAATACAAAAAATATGATCATAGACCACATGAGGTATATTAATATATTTTTTTAATCTCTTTGGGAATTATTGCTAGTCCAAATTCTTGTGAACTATTCCTAGCCTATGATGTAATGCAGACTTGGGTGCTGTCCACACTATCAAATTTGTTTTGAAAAATAAATGTGATATGCCCATATTTGGATTTAATATGACATCATCATGCCCATATATGGCACAGAAATTTTTCATCGTTTTATAGAGTGGACTGAGTTTCAGTGTCCTACATACAATACAAACAGGAAGTATAGAGTACAGGTACCAGTGTTGTCACAAAACCAGGTGGTGCCCTTTGTTTTCAACCAGACGTTGGCCAAGCAGTCATTACCCCGGAATGGCTTTGTAATCTTAAGTATGCTTTCTGGAATAGGCATTTTAAAACCTAATAATTTACCATCAAAATGTACTAAAATCACAAAAGCTCACCATATTATTAGTTATCCAACTAATCAATTAAAATTTACAGAGAAAAATTAAGATACAACATCATAATAATTACGTTAGATATTGGGATCAATGGTTTGTCAGTGGAGGCGTGGATCCAGTTGAGCACTTTTTTGGTCTCTGACTGCAATGGAATATAATAATATCACATGGTATTGTGACAACAACGTAGTACTCTATAGTCCTAATTTCATGTTTACTAGCTAGTATGGAATTTGTGGGTAGGGTTTTCCTTGTCTGGATTTTTGACAAACATTTCCTAGTTTGTGTTCTTCCAAAATACTCATAGTCGCTGTTCTTGGGAAATATTAGCGAGCTTTGGATTGCACAACAACAGTAAGATCTAGGTAGTAGTAACATCACATAACGCCATCTGCGGATGAACTCTTAAAAGCAGTTTGACCCAAATCAATGTTGCGCAGAGAACAGGATGGTTACCGATGATTGAATTTGTCCTGGGCTCAAGTCATGGGCACAATGGATCTTTTCGAAGTATCAATCAAACTTTACAACTGACCAATCAGAACATTTCTAAGATTACACACTTGTTACACAAAAACATGTGTCCCATCAGCGCTGTGTCCCATAAACACACATGTTTACATATGTGTATGCTATCTTTTTGTAGGACATTAGCAACGACATCTAAGAGGGGTGGGGGTGCTTAGGGGGACAGGCCATTAAAAGATCGCTATTTTTTGTAGAATATTGCTAGTCTGTGTTCTTAGGATCTTTCATGTGCCTACTTTATTATACTTCCCATGTATTTTATTCCACAATAATCACCTGGTACAATGCTGTACTTTGTTTTTTTCCTCTTTAGGTATTTGTTGAGTTAGATGAGCTTCATAAAGGTGAGGATAATGAGATGCAATGGAAGGAAAAGGCCCGTTGGATCAAATTTGAAGAAGATGTGGAGGAAGGGGGAGACAGGTGGGGTAAACCTCATGTCGCATCGCTTTCATTTCACAGTCTGTTGGAGCTTCGAAAAGGTCTAGAAAAAGGTAATATGAAAAAGTATGAATTTTAACTGAAGGGTAATATATATTTTTCATAAATGCTGTTTATTCTTTTTGTATAATGATAATTTGTTGGGGGTTTTTTTCATATTTTTTAATATGGTTTTTTTTTTAAATATATATTTTATTGGTTGTTTTCATTGTCATTTTTTTGTTATTTTATTGTAAATATGAATTTGTGACTGAAATATATTTAATTAAATTGTACTTCAAAATCATTTTAATGTAGGGTTATTTTAAAGATATTTTAGAATATATGTAAATTGCAACATGCAATATATTTTTATCTTAAAGGAGATTGAATCATGCTAATTAACGTAAGATACACACTGTTAATATTTTATTTATAATTACAATTTTATTTATAATTACAATTTTATTTATTTAAGGTTTATTCAAAACATATTGCGGTCACAGCAAAAGCTGAATTAATACAATATTTACAGAAAACACCAAAAAAAAAACCAAATATAATATATAAAACCAGCACATATCAAAAAAATGCATTACTAACAAATTAAAGCTACTAATTTTTGTCATTAAACAATTTAACCATGAATGGAATTGGACTATGACTATGACGTTTAGTACGGACTTTAGGCATGGAAAGTGAGTCGGCATTTCTGAGGGAGAAACCACTTTCTTCAGATCTTAATTTTGGTAACCAGTCACGGAATTCATTAGACTTCATTAGGGAAAAAGCAAAAGTGTAACAGATATTGTCCCGTTTCTTTTTTAGCTCCTCGATATTACACTCAACAAGAGGATGAATATTTAATCCCTAATATTATCCTACAGGCTCTTTTCTGGATGTGTTCTAGAGCAAGATGCTGCATTTGTGTAAGGCCTGGATGCCATAATGATAATAATAATAATAATTCTGTGTAGGTTCCTTGATGTTGGACATGGAGGAAACGAAACAATCAGATATTTTTCATCGAATTGTTGAAAGCATGATCACTGCCGACCAGATAAAGCCAGAGAACAGTGGAGACGTGATGCGGGCTTTACTGCTAAAGCATAAGTAAGATCATTATCAAAAGTTATAAAAATTTCTAACAATAATAAGACGTTTTTTTTTTCTATAAGAGTTGAGCTGAATGTTTGTGGTTAATCTACATGCTAAATCCTAGGACCATTGGTTTAAATTCATTCACTTGCCTAAATTTCTGTCTCTGGGACAAAGCTTCTTTGTGCAATAAGCTTTCTCTATGCTGTAAATTATTAAACAAATTATGAAGCACCCATTTTAATTCCATGCTCGAATTAACACTGAAACGGAACAATTCCCTTAATTAATGCTAAATAGATATCTCTTTTGCTTAGGCGCGATCTACAAATTATCCCCAACGACAGAAACGCGTCTGGGAAAGCGATCGTCTAATTATCGTGCCTCATGAATATTAATAAGCTAGTCGGAATATGTCCCAGACGCGTCTAAACGGGTTTGTGCTGTTGAACGCGTTTGCCATTGTTTCTATTGTTTTGGGCGACAAACGC